AATAAAAAGAAGGGCTTGGGGTAACATGATAGTAGTGTTCCAATATCTCAGAGGTTGCCACAAAGAAGAGGGAGACAAGCTATTCTCCAAAGCACCTGAGGGTAGGACAAGAAGCAATGGGTGGAAACTAATCAAGGACAAGAAGCAACTTAGAACTAAGGAGAAATTTCCTGACAGAACAATTAATCAGTGGAACAACTTGCCTTTAGAATTTGTGAATGCTCCAACACTGGAAGTTTTAAAAAAGATGTTGGATAACCATTTGTCTGAAACGGTATAGAGTTTCCTGCCTAAGCAGGGGGTTGGACCAGAAGAACCCACTCTCCCCATCTGCCCGCTCTAGTTTCCACCCTCACCTTTTCTCAGGAAAGGTGACACGTTGTGGTCCATGAGACAGGGAGACACGTTACTATAATTAGCCATTGTGTTTCTTTTCATGGTCTCAAACTGGGTGTGCTCCAAAATCTGATTCAGAACTGGTTCTTGAATCTCTAATCCCAGGAACTGGGCTATTTTCCTCATTTCCCGAATTGGATCCTAGGGAAAGGGCTGAAATGGTTAACGGGAAGGAAAAAAGCGATAAGGGTTACTGACAGGAGACTGGCCATGTGTTTTTGAACATCTCAATCCAAAGTCTTTGCCGGCCTTTTTCAAACATTTAGCTAGGAAGAATTCTTGAAATCATTTTCAGAGAAACGCAGAATAAAAATAACACAAACAAAGTGAAAGTTTCACTCTACAGTTCACATTTATCATCCAATTACAACAATAACAAAGTGACAAGCTGGCAGTTAAGTTGTGGTGCATAGACGCTCAAATTCTTATGAGCGTTGGCATTGCGCAAAGTTCAAGAAACAAAGTTTTGTCTATTTTTTATTCATCAACTCTTGTAAAACCTTAAAATTCCACGGGACCCAATTGAGAAAGACAGGCCTGTATCATTGAATTCCCTCTCTGAAACATTTTTGTGGCAAGTTTGTTATGGAAAGGGAAGCTTCTCACCTCTTTCATGTCTTCGTAAAAGAGATAGAGAATCGGGTGGCGTTTCTTGGCCTCCCACCAGCCACAGACATGGTCAAACCATGAGCCGCAGATAACTAGAAACAGACATCAGAGAACACTGGAAAATGTACTTCAGCCTCTTTTCTCAAGGAGAAATAAATAAAATATAGATAGTCCTCAACTTACAAGAGTTCCTATAGTGACTGTTCGAAGTTGCAACAGCTCTGAAAAAAGTGACTTGTGGGAGTTTTTCACATTTAGGACTGTTGCAGCATCCCCAATGATCACAATTCAGATGCTTGGCAACTGACATATACTTATGACTGTTGCAGTGTCCTGGGATCATATGACCACCTTTTGCAATCTTCTGACAAGCAAAGTCAATGGGGAAGTTAGATTCACTTAACAACCATTTTACTAACTTAACAACTGTGACAAGAAAGTTCATAAAATGGGGTAACATTCACTTAACTGTCTCAGCAACAGAAATTTGGGGCTCTTTTGTGGTCATAAGTCAAGGACTACCTGTAGAATATGACTCATTCACCACATTATGAAAAGGATGTTGAGACTTTGGAAAAAGTGCAGAGAAGAGCAAATAAGACGATTAAAGGCCTGGAGACAAAAACATATGAAGAACGGTTGCAGAATTTGGGTTTGGCTGGTCTGGAGAAAAGAAGACTAGGGGGCATGGGTGGGTTCCTGCCAATTCTAACCTCTTCTATAAAAGAGGTTCCACAAATCTACAGTGCCATTTAGAACCGGTTTCAACTGCCTCCCCCCGCCCGTCCGCACACCATCCAGATGAAGAGCAAGAGGAAGAATTCTGGGAGTTGAAGTCCAGACGTCTTAAAGCTGTCAAGTTTGAACACCCCTGGGTTTTTTTTCTAAANGTTTCACCAGGACGAAGAGGTGGCTGAAGACGGCGTTTGTGTCGCCTTCATCCTGGTGAAACTCCTCTTTGAAAGGACGATCTGCAGGTGGTGGTGGGATTTCCTGCACATCAGTAGCGGCGTCTCCTTGCAGAGCTTCTTCTGATGTCCCAAGTGCATTGATTTCCATGCCTTCTTTTCCTGTTCCGTGGATGGAATTGCAAGCTGTGACTGTCACCGTTACATAAGGAGGGCATGAGGCATTTGGGTTGTGTTGCTTGGCCTCCAGCTTCTTTTGCAGCCACAATTGGCTGCAAAAGTGAGCGGGATTTGCTGGAGGCAGAGGCCTGAGTGGCACCCGCAAATCAGCTGTTTTGTGAAAGGAATGGCCCAGCTGATCCAATTAAGGGCCAAGAAACCCTGAGATGACCGGGGAAGGGAAGGGCTGCCCCCTGTTCTAGCTAAACCCACCCCTTCACTAGGGCTTATTTTCAGGGGAGGGTTCATATTTTTGCCCACTGCAAAAATCTGGCAAGGCCTTAGTTTCAGGACATGTTGTATTTTCGGGGAAACACGGTAGTAATATATATATAAATATATTTGATTTAAAAATAGGTGATTTGATATGAGTGGCAAGTGATGACTATGGAAGGGATGCATAGAAATTTTGTAACCAAATGACACACTTTCTATAATTTGTAATGAAAGATGCTTTTATGTTTTTGGTTTGTCTGTTTGTGTTTGTTCAAAAAATTAAAAAAATGTTTAAAAAAATGGTAAATAAAATAAACATAAAATATATGAAATAGAGCCATATTTGGCTCTCAACTAAGGGACATGATGGCTCAGTGGCTAAGACATTGAGCTTGTTGATCAGAAAGGTTGGCAGTTCAGCGGTTTGAATCCCTAGTGCCACGTAACAGAATGAGCTCCCATTACTTGTCCCAGCATCTGCCAACCGAGCAGTTCGAAAGCACATAAAAAAATGCAAGTAGAAAAATAGGAACCACCTTTGGTGGGAAGGTACCAGTGTTCCATGCGCCTTCGTCGTTTAGTCATGCTAGCCACATGACCACGGAGACGTCTTTGGACAGTGGTGGGTCTTTGGCTTAGAAACAGAGATGAGCATTGCCCCCTAGAGTCGAGAACAACTAGCACATATTTGTGGGAGAACCATTATCTTTACCTTTAAGGGATTGGAATATCAGGAAAGGGCTATTTCTGCCTTCCTCTTTTCTCCTTCCACTTTCCTTTTAAAATGTTTTTCCTACTAGTAATTTTTTAAGCAATAGGAAAGAAAATTTAAGTACAAATTAGAGAGAAATCTTTAAATTAAAAAGCGGGCAACCCTCCTTTTTCCATCATATACATATACAGTATAGAAAATGAGACAGAGAGAGAGCAAGCAACTCAATAAGAGAATTTCAGCAAAAGGGTTCACTGACAAATGCGCGCTTGACAAATGCGCGCTCGACAAAACCGCGCTGACGAAACCGCGCCACGCCAAAACAAACAACATTCTGCAACGTGAAAACAACATTATAACCCTAACCCTAACCCCTAATGTTGTTTTCGCGTCCCACTATGTTGTTTTTTTCATTGCAGCGCGATTTCGTCGGCGCGGTTTTGTCGGCACGCATTTGTTGGGTCACGCAGCAAAAGAAGATTTAATTGGCAATGACAAATGCTTTTGAACAAGAATCAGCTTTTTGAAGAAATGCACAGTAAAGCTTGGATTGTCATTTGATTATGGATCCATGGCTTATTTTATTAAATGCAAGGAAGATTAATAATTTAAGCAGGCTTGATTGAGAAGGCTGTGTGGAGAAGAACTGCTTTTACAGCTCTGTGCGGAAGGTCAGGCCACTGCCTTCCAGCAACTGACTACAGAGGCCGTCCAGCTGCTCACTTTGAGACACTGTGAAGTATTCCTTCCAGTCACCAACAATACCTGCAGAGAGAGTGGGAGTAACAAAACTCAGTTGCCAGGTTTCCCCTGCTACTTTTCTGCTATTCTAATCCAGCAGGATTTAGATAACTCATCTTTTGTAGTAGCTACCCTCTCCTCCTGTTTGCTTTCCCACACCTCTCAGTTGCATTTCAACACTGCAAGGATCACCTTTCCAAAATTTGACACCCATCATGGGACTCAAGTCTTCCCAGGTGGGGGCCTTACCAGGTATACAGACAGGAAAGGAGACCAGATAGGTTTATTCTACTTAATTTAAGGCTACACTGACAGAATCTTGCAAGTCTGAAAGTATAATTTCCTGCCATCTCTTTTTTTGAGAAAATTAGGGTGAGTCCATGCTGAGCTCCTTGCCCTACCTACTGTCCAGCTGCGGATTATGCTCTTATCTGACCATTCCCTAGGCAGCATCTCTTCCCCCCAACCTCCAAATGTGTTTCCCACACTGTATACTTTTACATCATGTCTAGTTCAATAAAAAGAAGGGCTTGGGGTAACATGATAGTAGTGTTCCAATATCTCAGAGGTTGCCACAAAGAAGAGGGAGACAAGCTATTCTCCAAAGCACCTGAGGGTAG